CTTCCCATGCTCCTATTGAGGGCTAAGGGAATGCTTATCTCCTCGAGCGCGGCCTTCATCCAACCATTCCTTCACAGCTACCCAGTTGCCTCAGTCTCCCCTTGGAGGACAGTAGATAAAGAATGGGATAGCTGAAAATGTCCTTATTTGAAAACCACAACAACAGAGCAATGAGAACCTGAGGGCCTTTGGGATAGTCAGAGGACATGAAGTCAGTAAAGACACCTCAGCTATGACCTCCTTGTAGTTTAGGATTAGGGCTAACATCTACACTGCAAAGAGTCTTCAGGGCAGCTCAAATGTTTCTTCCAGATATTGATAGAACATGGAAGAGCTGTCACAGATTGAGCTGCATGGTGCTCTTGTTGGTGTCATTGCACATTGTAGCCATATCCTGACAGAAATATTTTCCTGCAGTCCACCCATTGTGGACTGTGAAACATGGGCTATCAACCTATACAACTGTATGCACATATTGCTGCTGGACATGAGGAGATATTGCGGTTCATTCTGCACTGTGTTGCATCAATATGCTCTCTGGGTAGCTCTGAAAGGTTTCCCCAAGGGGCCTCCTCAGATACCCTTTCAAAAAGCGTATGTGGAAGTTTGTGCAAACCACCTTTTTAGCTGGTTCACAAGAAGCTCATCTCAGCGTTTTAAGCCATACATGCCTTCCTTTGCATGTTTGTCTCTAGGGTGACAAGATCCCAAGAAGGGGATTAGAAATCCAATATTCTTGATTGCTTAGAAAAAGGAGTGTTGACAGCTGCAACTTGTTATGCAGTACTAAGAAATATCTGCTGAAAGGAATAACCTCTTTTACATCATTATGTAAGATGGAGGAGAACCATCCTTTTTTGCCTCTGGACCTACTCTTAAAAAGGAAAGAGAAAAAAACCTTAAGCCCAAAAGTAAAATTGCAGTGAGGTGTTGTGAATTAATGAATCTCAATACTGGAAGTTTTTTATGATTGGAATTTTGCAGGCACCTTGATAAAGCTTATTTTGTGGTCATTTTTTCATCGTTAGCTATAATGCCAACATTTATTTTAGTAGTTGCTTTCAATTCACTGGACCATTTTCCGTGGCTTGATAGTGAATGTTCTCAAAGCTTTATGCTTTCTTTTCAGTTTCCTTCCTGACTGGCAGAGCTAGAAACCAGTCGATTTCCTGCAAGATAATGATTTTGATCTTTTTCTTAGCATTAATCTCATCAGTGTTTCCCAGCATTCTCTCTGGGTTGTGCTTAGACAATGAGGGACTGAAAACTGCACACCCACATATATTTGGAAGATTACAAGGTGAAGGGCATAGAAAGATTGTGTCTTTAATCTCACTCCCAAAATTGTCACTCCTTCTTTCATGCTTTGGGTTATAGACCTCTTTTTCTTAGAAGTACTCTTCCAGAAATTGCTGTCCCTCATTAATTACATTCTAGATCCTGAGGGATCTTCCATGAGAATGAGAATCTTCCCTGCTTCAGAAGTCATGGAGAACATGATGATGGTGATGCGTGTTTGGACCTAAGGCTAAATGCAGATCCTGTTCAGTATGATGATGTCACCACAGCTGTGGGCTTATAATGTTTTGAAACTAGAAGAGGAAGTCACTGGGCACATGGATGAAATTTCAGTGGGATTGTTGGACATAATGTGTAGATCTCTGCTAAACCGTGATGCAAAATTTGATGCTGCGTAGTTCTGTGCCCTGTGAAATACAACTTCTAAACTCAGTGTAGGCAAAGTCATGTGGGTTTCTGGTTGCACTACAAGTTGAGGGAAGTGGGGCAGATGATTCTGACGTAAGGCTCCTCATAAGCACTTTTGTCCTCATAGCTGCTCGTAACTACAAAGCACATGTGAAGTACTGTGGGAGCATAAAACCTTGGGATTTAAAAATCCAGACTTACCAGTGACTGAATGTGATTTGCAGCTTGGCATGAACTTGGTAACATTTGCCATTAAATAGAGCCACTGAAGAGGCATAAGCAACGTTGTCTTTCCAGATGTTAAGGATTTCAATGCCCAGCAATTCCACCTAAGGCATTATGGGAATTGTAGCCCAAACCATCTAGAAAGCAGATCTTATCTATCCTGGAGTAGATCATGCATCAGGTTTACCTACAATCACACTCCTTAGTACTAAGAGCATTTTTTTCCCCCTTTTAGGAGGTCCAGCGACTGAGTGTTGGAAAGGACCAGTCAAGATTGGAGAAATGTAAGTGCTACTTTCTGGCTAGGAATCTTTAGCTCAGGGAAGATTTCAGTGCTGATTTTAACATGATGTTTTTCCGATAGCAACAATGGGAGCATCATCGTCAGATTCACCCAAGAAAACCAAACCTGAGAAAGCTCCATTTGCACATCTTATAATTGATGGCCACAATATTCCAGCTGGTAAGTTCATTTTTAAACATTTACCGCTTTACCATACAGCAGTGTTGTCCAAACTTGGCCACTTTAAGATGAGTGGACTTCAACTCCCAGA